TTTTTTTTTTTTTTTTTTTTTTTTTGCTACTCGGTTGTATAGTAGAGACGACGGGTCCAGTTTTTGGCTTCAGCCTTGTTCATACGCATTTCCATCGAAATGCTTTGTCAGTAGGGTCCTGTTTTGTTTTTGCTACTTGGTTGTACAGTAGAGACGACGGGTCCAGTTTTTGGCTTCAGCCTTGTACATACGCATTTCCATTGAAATGCTTTGTCATATATTTCCTCTTGTTCGTATTCCTCTACCAACATTGGTCTTGCATCTGAGTCGTTGTTTGGTGAGTGGTTTCTGGTTTATTGTCATGATTGTTGCAAATTGTGTGCTTCTTCGATGCCACGCACCTGCATGTCATGGATGCCTCCATTATGAATGTGCTATTAATTTCGGATGCCGAATAGGCATGATGTGCTAATGAATGTGTTCTTACACAAACTTCCTCCAGTCTGATGACTAAACACACACTATGACACACTTGCCTGTTAACATTGTTTGAAACTTATGGTTGGCCGCACTGTGATTGATTGTGAATGTGTTGTGACTTTGGTATGCCAACCAGGGTCTGACCTATGATTGCCATGAATGTGTTATTTCAAAATATGTCACGAACTGTCATCACCCTCACGAATGAAATCGACGCCTGCCTGAGGCCCTGATCTGCATGGGGTCTGCCATCTGCAGCCTCATCCAGCTTCGACGCGACCTGGGCGCACGGGCCGCCCCAACCAGGTCCTCATCCAACCCCCGTTGGGCCGCCCCCGCAGGGGTCAAATTTTTTTTCTTTTTTTTTCTAGTGTTCCAGACCCTCCTCCCTACGACCCCGCATCAACGAACCCGCACGCGCCCGACAGCATTGGACGTGATTCAGAGGGAGAGAGAGATGGGGATTGCTGCACGGGCGGCGGAGGACGAGGACGCAGACTTAGAGTCCGAGCCGATCGAAACAGCGGCCCGCAAACACAGGGCACAGGTGGCCGCGGCAGCCGCTGCAGCAAAGGCGGCATACCTCTGCGGGGCACGGAGCACAGCCTCACAGGTGTCGGAAGGAGAGGAGATGCCGTCAGGACGGTCATACCTCCTCGCAGTGCCCTTACACCACCGCCCTTGACTGCCACTACGCTGACCTCTCCCGCCAGGGTCGTGCTTAGTCCCCCCCCGGCGCCTCTCATCCCCGCGGCGCCTCCTAGCCACGGTGCAGTGTACACCTGTGCCCTCCTCAATAGTGGGCTTTCCGACATCTCCGTCGTGGTTTGCCCCTCTCGCTATTGGAGCTGAGGTATCGCAGGACTCAACAGAGTGTACTCAGCCCTCTGTCGCAGTACCGTCTGCGCCTCCGCAGACCACCGTCTCCCCTCCTTCCCTGCCCCGACTACCGACGCGTCGAGCCATTCGCTCAGCCCGTTGCAGCGAGCAGCTCGCGACTAATAAGGACGTTGTGTCCTCTCTTCTGGACTTGAGCATGCTCAAGGCTCATCAGGAGCGACTCACCCTCCATGTCGCTGCACTGCGTTGCCTTTTCACCATCCTCTCTAACCCAGATCGCACCCTCCCGATCATCCCCGTACGACAGGGGACCTCCACGAGGGTGTACTCAACGCTGTGGGATTCTGGTTCTCAGGGCGACTCCATTCACCCACATGTGGTGAAAGAAGCCCGCTTACCCACGACAGGGTCTCCGACTTCCATCTCCGTCACCCTAGGGGATGACAAGACCCAGCGCTTCTTCRATCAGACGATCACCGACCTCTCTTTTTTCCTCACTCTTGAGCCGACTGATTGTCCCCYGGCGTCTCGTYGCCACCGCTCCTCTGCACATTTCAATGTGATGGAGACAGGGTACGACTTCATTCTCGGCACTCCGTGGTCTCGTCGGTTCCTCAGCACCGAGGCCGATTGGGCGACCAATACTCTCGTTCTCAAAACGAAGTGTGGATAGACGTATTGCGTATCTTTCATAGGTACCACCGCGACACCACGCCCCGATCCTCCTCCCCGGAGCCTCCGTGCCCACAATATCTCCTTCTATCACTGTCACCTCGCCTCGGCAGTTCGCCCACTTCATCGGACAGGACGACGTCACCTTCTTTATGTTGAACGTGACGGATCTCTCACACTACGATCCACCCTGTCCCGATGCCGAGCTCATCCCTTGGAGCCAGATCCTCCTTCTATCTCCATGACTCCCATCTCTTCTTCCCACCCTCCGCCGTCTGTTGAGTCCACCCCTCCGTCGCACGTTGACGCTGACGCTGAGGAGCTCGCACGATATACGGCTGACCTGGAGTCCGCAGTCCGTGACCTCATTCGAGAGTACCACGGCGTTTTCCCATTGTCATTCTCGTACGCCGACATCCCACCGATGCACGACGTCGAGCACTCTATACAGCTTGTGTCTGACTATCGTGTTCACCACCAGGCACCCTACAGACTCTCGATCCCCGAGGCCACCGAACTCAAGCGACAGCTTGAGGAGCTTTTGAGACTGGGTTTCATTAAACCTAGCAACTCCCCATGGGGTGCACACGTCCTCTTTACTCGCAAAGCGGATGGAACTCTCCGTCTCTATATCGACTACCGCGGTCTCAACCGCTACACGGTTAAGAACAACTACCCCGTGCCTCGCTCCGATGAGTTGTTTGGCCGCCTAGCAGGCAACCGCTTCTTTACGAAGATTGCTCTTCGTAGCGGTTACCATCAGATCCGTGTCGCTGCAACGTTCCGATCATGTGTCGTCCACTACGAGTTTACGGTGATGCCATTCTGCCTCACCAACGCACCCGCAACCTTCCAGTGGGCGATGAACGACATCTTCAGGTACATCCTAAAGCAGTACGTTTTCGTCTACCTCGACGATATCCTGGTCTACAGTCGTACTCTTGAGGAGCACCTCAGACACCTTCGCGACGTCCTTGACCGCTTGTGCAGACATGGCTTCTACGCCAAGCTGAGCAAGTGCCGCTTTGCCCAGCACAAAGTGGATTTCTTAGGACACTACGTGTCTCACCAGGGTCTCCATATGGACGACGCGAAGATCAGTGCTATTGCGGAGTGGCCCGCTCCCACATCCGCCAAGCAGCTTCGCAGCTTCCTAGGCCTGACCAGCTATTATAGTAATTTCATCCGGGAATACGCTAGGTATTCCTACGTCCTTACCTCCACCCTCCTTCGGAAGAACCCACCCTGGGCTTGGACACCCCTCCACGAGGACGCCTTTCACGCCCTTAAGAAGGCGGTGACATGCGCACCGGTTCTTCATCTACCCGATTTGACCGCCCTTTTATCCTTACCACCGATGCATCAGATTTTGTTGTAGGAGCAGTGCTTTCTCAGGTTTTCCCCTCCTCTCCTGATTCCTCTCATCCTCGTATCCCTCGCTTCCCACCACCTAGCCCTACCACTGCTTCCCGACAGACGCCTACTCAACTAGCTACCGACGAGCCTTTTATTGACTATTCTCCTACCATCGCMGAGGACGGCACTGTCGAGTCTCGCTCAGGTGATTGTCCGATAGCCTTCTACTCCAGTCAGCTCCTGCCCGCCGAGATAAACTACACCACTAATGAACGTGAGGTTCTCGCAGTAGTTTATGTCGCTCGACACTGGCGTCACTACCTGCATGGGGCACCGTTCACGGTGCGCACGGACAACTCTGTTGTCCAGGCTTTTCTGACAAAACTGAAGCTCACTCCTCGACAGGCTCGCTGGTGACCTATCCGAGTTTAGTTTCGCCACTAAGCACATTAAGGGTGAGACTAATCGGGTCGCAGATGCCTTATCCCGGCGCCCTGACCACGACCAGAAGCAGATCCAGCTCTCTTCCATCTCGGTCACCACTGTCCATTACTCGGTGATCGACGAGTTTCGCACTCAGTACCGCCACTGCCCCGACTATCGCGACATCCACGCGACCCTTCGGAGTGGCAAGACCGTCCCGAACTACTCTCTCGGGGACAACGGTCTTGTGTACTGGCACGGTTCACAGGGCACCAGAGAGCCCCGTATTTGTGTTCCCTCCACCGGACAGCTACGTGTCCGAGCAGTAGCAGACTTTCATGACCAGGCAGCCGCCGGTCATATGGGCTTCCACAAGACGTTGGCTCATGTGCGCCGCATGTATGTCAGGCCGAAGCGCAAAGACTTTGTGAAGGACTACGTCGCAAAGTGTCCCGCCTGTCAGGAGGTGAACAGTACAAACCATCTTCCTTATGGTTTGCTACAGCCTCTCCCCATCCCCGAGGGGCGCTGGCAGTCCATCTCGATGTACTTTATCGGTTCTCTTCGTCCTACGATCCCCTGCGGTCATGATGCTATCCTGGTTGTCGTCGACCGCTTCACGAAGCGTGCACGCTTTGTTCCGCACCGCTATGCCATCAGTGCACATGAGGTCGCCGACATCGTGTTTGACCGAGTCGTGCGTGACCACGGCTTACCTCTTAGCATCATATCTGACCATCACCCGCACTTTACCAGCCGATTCAGGTGACGGT